TAGTCTTGAGACTATTGAATGTGTAATGTCCAATTCTTTCATTCTCAGTGCGAAGCTTTTGTGAACTGCTTTGGAGCTTTGTTTTCAATGTGCTGGATATCTGACTGCTTATATCTTATTTTAAAGTCAGAAGCCTTTTCCTATAAATAACCAAGATGCTCTCTCACAGATTATTAACATTTGACATTCCCACCTGTTAGTTGCAGATGAATTTGCCTTATTAAAAAATGAGGAAAACTCCAGCACTTCACCACCAAAACTCCATTTTTGGAAATGCTACTTTTAATTATAGAGCAAGCTCAATATTCTTTTTCCTGGATGGCTGTAAGGACAATTGAATAATAAGGCGATGTCTTTCATGAATATAAAGCTTTTGGCAAGCCAAATATTATGACYTAAGTATCTTAATTTCCTATATTTCCTTCCTCTCTTTCCCTGTAACACATACATCTTCTGGATCTTTCAARTGGTCATCTAGGGGGAAAACTTAATTAAATTAATTGCAATTCATTTAAGCATTTAAAACAAATCAAAAATCCAATTCATGCTTGGTTAGGCAACTSTTTCTGGCTAAATGCCAATATGAAGGAACTAAATGAGGTTCTTAATATCACATTGCAGGTTTTTTTTCAATTATTGCTATTTCTTAYCCCTAAATGCTTAATTTCAGTCTAGAAAAAAAGTTACTTTGTAATATTGGGCAGTGTTTAATAGGTTTTATTGGCATAATATACTACAAAAAAACTAAGCATCTTGATTTTTTATATAATATACATGCTTATGTACTTGATTACATACATACAAGTCAATAACTTTTGAAAGCCTCATATTTGCATATGTGCATATACATATACAACTTCTACAWATTCTCTTCATGGCTTTGTCACATACCCTGTGTTTGTGGTTACTAGAAGTCATCTTGTTTTTAAAAATACTCCTYTCAGCTAGAAATGCTGAGATGACCCATAAATAGTTTATAAGAATCCTGCAACGCTCAGGTCTATTTACATTTGTATAGAGTGGAAAAGGGGGRTGGTTGAGACAAAATGGGTAAGGTTACAACTTGAGTCAAACCCAGCATAAAACAGTTTGAGAGCTTTGTGGGTGCAGTGACAGCCCGCTGAGGTTGAGGGAGAGACTCCCTGCTCTCAACAGTACCTGCAGGAGTTGTTGGATGTGCCACCGTAACTGCAACATCTGTTGTGTTTGAGCTAGAGAAACTACGTGCAGAAGTGAGCCTAGCAGCTGCTAAGGAGTGAGTGACAAAGAGGAAACTGGGAGCTGTTAAGGCTTTCAATCAATAATATGAAAATACAGAGAGAAAAATAAAAAGAGAAGCATCACCACAGTAACTGTGCCCTTGAATAAAATGAAAAACATCCAAAAGAATATGAAATTGAATCCCTTCAGATATTAACTGCAGGCTTGGTCTCAATCAACCAAAAGACTCTAAGCTGCTTTGCAACCCGCACAATTAGTGACGTCCAATTTCTTTAAAAATAAAAGGTCTTCTGTACTTCTAGTGTCTCCATAGTACTCCTGTTCATACACTCAGTGTTCCTGTTCTTACGACTCCAAATAACCATTCACAATCTCAGGCTAACTAGCAATTAGCTGGTACTCTACCAGCTGATTAGCCAGCTGACTACTGCCTACATAAACAGAGCTGAGACGTGATCATCTTTTCCTGAATGAGACATTACCTGGGTTGTGCATCCTCTGCTGAGTCACCACTTTTCATGACATGTATAGGAATTTTGTAGCTTCAAGGTTGCTACCAGTTTCAGATCTGAATCCAACTGAAAATAAGCATGGGAACTGACAGGAACAAGTGCTCACAGTTACTACATATGTCTTATTTCCACAGAAAAACAGGATGTTTTCTGTAGCCAGAATAAATGAGCCTTATGCTCTAACCTTATTACTGTAATATTCAAGACAAATTCTCCTTATAAACACTCAAAAAGCCTTGAGGTCAACTATGAGACTTCTGCATTAGAAGTTTATGGACTCAACATCCCTACAGGGAAAACAAACAAACAAACAAAACCAATTGTTTTGGAGCCACAAGGACCAGCTGCTTTGCCAGGGAAGATGAGCTGGGAGCAACAGCCGGACAGGTGGGACAGTGGCCGCACCAGTGTTCCCATGGTATCTGAACAAGAAGAGCAGGTCCAGTGACAGGAACCAGCGTCAACCCCAATCTAGTGAGCACCAGACAAGGCCACAGTAGCGGGGCAGGTCTGAGCTCAAGGCAGCAGGATCGAGGTAAGGCAAGTGCCAAAGGCGTGAGCTCCAACGCGGCTCCTAGGCCGAGAGGAGCAGCCCAGCAGAAGGCTTCTCCCAGCTGACTCTCACAACCTGGCTCTTTCCCAGCCCTCTGACCCAAAGTCAGGGGAGCGCTCATGGTCTGGACAATAATTTAAACAAGAGGTAATCGTGACTGAGTCCTATTCTAAACATTACATGCTACTTTTTTCCTAGCTGAAGACTGTGCTTCCATGCTACTGGTTCAAACCATCCAAGTCTGGCAGAAGATTAATTAGCTGTTGGATGCTCAGTTCTTATTAATCATAACTGGATGTTTTAGTCCGTGCAAAAAATGAGCATAAGTTGAAGCATCTTCAAGCCAGCTAACAATTTTGGCTTGGATTCTTTGAATTAGTAAGTATTGAAAGAAAGAAAAAAAAAACTGAATTCAGAGGTGCTTTTCTGGGTCAAGATTGCAAGGCTTTTTATACCTATCTCAATTTCCTCTACTAGTTTTTTATTATTATTATTTTAAAAACATTTAAATCATTTTCATGGGCTTTACCTCYGAGCACTTCATAGTACAAAAAGATTACAAAGCACTAAGAGAATGATTAATGCTTCTTTTTAGCAGCTAGCCAATTGCTATGTTTACAGATAAAAGCATTCAGAATATAAAGCACTGCAGAAAAAGAATCTGTAAGTATAATCACACAGTTCTCCACTATTTTCGAGTTATGATAAATTCAATATTCAATTTTATGTATTAAGCATCTAATAATCTGAATCTAAGTCTATGGCGCCCTCCTGTGGTCAATAATAATAAAAGCAATTTTTAATTTTTTTCTAGATTCAGTGTGTTATCCACAGGAAAAAAAAAACGTTAAAAAACTGCATTTACTAGACTTTTATCATAAACATACCTTAAGAAACAGTAGTACTAACTTTTCTGATTTATGTGGAAGTTCTGAGTGTTTTTTGAGGTGCTAGTACTCTGATAGTGTTCAGCAATTTCTATTTTTGTGTTAACATCACAGATATACCTTATCTAAGAAATTAATTCTGGATTAATTCTGGAACTGGATTTTAAAACACAAGCTCTGCTCCACAATGCTGTATTCTATAATGAGGTAGCATGTTGCAAGAATCCATTTGATATAAATATTACACTGAAATACAAAAGAAGAAAACAGAAACGTGAAAGCATGGACACAAGCAAGTTAATGAAGATGAGCAGCAGACAAAAACGTGACTCTGTAGTTAAGAGTGCCAGGAGAAGGTTATCCAATTAGATTCCCCAGCTAAAAACATCCTGTGACTTAGCAAGTTACCTAACTTCGCCCCATGCCTCAGATTCTTCCCTATCAATGGGGACAATTAACTCCCTGGCTCCGGTGAGCGACTTCATGGCTGTTCAGAAGATGCTCCACGACGTCAGGCAGGCCACGGTAGAGAACGCGTGCTATCAGAAAGCAGAGCACTGATCCATTGTTTCCAACTAAATTAATTTCCTATCTTTTTTATTCTAAGCCAAAATATTAGGAAAAAAGGCAAGATGCTCAAAAATGAATTTCTGAATGAACCTAACACTGACAAAGACAAGACCAGGGAGAGGAAAGGAAGGGAAGAGAAGGAGAACTCGAGCAAAATCTAATGATAAGCTAATGATGCTAACACTGTCATTGAACTTTTCACAACTRTTACTAAGGGAGGAAAAGATAGATGCTCAGTGTGATTGATGAGGCAAGTTGCTTTATATTCGACTCATACWTAATGAAAATCTTTTCTTCCAAATGTACAACAAAATGCATAGCTAACAATTCCAGATCGGACTTCTCTGATTAACCCCGTACATGCAGCTAGACCATTTTGTTGTCACTTTCCAAAAGCAGCGCCTGGCTGAGGTCCTCACACATTCATTAAAGTAATGGTTCAGTAATGAGATTTGAATTATCTAAAATTGTTCCAATCAAATCAACTTAAGTAGCATCTACTTCAGATGGATTTAAAAAAACAAAAACACACAATCTATCATAAAATACKGAGGAACTTGTACAAGCAGAACATCAAATACTACACAGCTACCATGGAGAAGACAAGAGGCAGCCTTATTTTGAACCTAATGCTCAATTAAATGAAGGAGATTCTTTAATTAAAGTTGTGGATTTATTTTTGAGCAATATGATCATATGTTTTTATTAGCATCTTAAAGAGATACTTGAAAACAATATCCAAGGTTTAGATTTACATGAAAGAAATATATGTAACCTATGATTCTTGTGCAAATGTTTATACTGGATGCAGATRTTAAAAAGGTATATAAACAGTCAGAAGAATGTATATAAACATACAAAAATATGTTTAAGCACAGTCAGATCTGAGAACAGGAAAATATTTGCATAAAGGTATTTGATCCAGGCTTTTATAGATGTAGAAGCCTCGGCCAGAATAAATAATTAAACAAGCCTGCCTCATCTTCATTTTCAAGAAATATGGTGTTGCTATTTTATGTTCCATGTCAAAGTGTTAGAAGCAGAAAAGAAAGTGAAGCAAAAAGATGCTTATTTCAACCACTAATGAAAACCCAGTTGTAGTGAGGTAGTTTCTCCATGTACTCTAGCAAGCATGTAAGACTCCAGAGCAATAACAAAACCTCTGAATATATTGCATGTGTTAGAAAGAGTGAGGGAGGGAAGAARTATTCTTGAATGTGCATTAAATAATGCCCAACAACACAAGTCACAAAAATATTTTATTTTAATAAAAGCCCAGTATCATTAGTCTCACACCTCATAAGTTACAGAGTTACACACAATGCATACAGGTGTCTCCACCTTTAAGGATCACATCAGTACCATAAGATCACTTGTGTTTCAACAACTGTTCTACTTCTATAAAAATATTCTGTGATTTCATGTTTAATTTCAGTGTTATCTATGCAGCAAAAAAATGTTTCCCATATTGCAAACTTAGTTGTTCCTAAACTACTTACAAAGTTCTGTCCAGGATGTGTTTAATAATAAGTACCTTTTATTTCTCTTTTGCGGAGGATGAAAATATAGTAAATTGCTTTAAAAATACATTCAAAAAATCCTTCCATTTGAGATAAGTAGGAATATAAAATGTAATTATGATACTAAGAAATACAGATTTGATCTGACCAATTTCACTGTTCTACATATGAATCTACTACTAAGGCATCCGAATTCTTACATTCTTACTCAGTTAGCTAGGTAATACTTGCTCRTGGTGAAATCAACTTAATCAGTCAAAATCACTTTTGGCTAATTGTGAACTTAGCACTTGGGTGTGCTAAAACAAACTGGTATTTTAAAAAGAATGAAAAATGAGTGTACCTGCAAACATATATGATTTAACTAAGGCATTGAAAAGTGCAAAACTGGACTAATCCTTCAGCTTCCAGTAAACACAGCCTTTCTGAATGCAGGCTGTAAGCAGACAGATCATAACTACAGAATCAAGTCCAATAAGTAAAATAAAGTTATGGCTTGTGCATAAAGATCTGTGAGTATGACATGATTCAAGCTGTGCTAGTCACTGAAAATTAACATTTGCTTCACATGAGTTATTCAAGCTCATTATTAATGCAGGATTTTGTTGTTGTTATGTTTTTTTTTTTTCTTTTGCATTATTAATTCAGCTCTACAATACGTAGAAAAGATAAAGCTTTCATGAAAGAGTCAGCCAAAGCAATTCATTTGTATATCAGCATCACCCAGGATCTTCCTCAACCTACAAGGAGTAAGAATAAAAATGAAAGTGTGTTAATTGAAGTAAAATGTATTTGAAATATTTGAAGACTTAGTTTTATACAGATAATAGAACTGAATTACTCTACACTTCAATACCATGCTGATTCAAGTGTAATTTTAAACTTGTTTGAAAGTTTTATACAATATTGCAATAACAATCCTATTGATGAAACTTTATAAATGCTAAATATTCTCACCATTTTTAACTCATAGGACAAAAAATCATCTTTCTTGCAATTAATCAAAATGCAGCAAAGTGAACTCTCGAAAAGTCTTTCCGCTGAAGAAATTATATTTAAGTTGACACACAAATACAAATCTTTGATTTTCAATTTATGATATATGCTTACTATATAAGATTTTTTAACTAGATAGGTCCTCTACTCAGATATACCAAGATTTCAGATACTGCATTTCTTACTTAGGGAAAATACATAAACTCTGTGTGTGTGTGTGTGTGTGTGTGTGTGTGTGTGTGTGTCTATATACATATATATGTGTGTATATCTATCTATCTATATGTATGTATAAAAAGATGATACATGCAGTGAGCAGTGTCCCTGCGGAAAAAGTTTTAAAGTTTCCAACCACAACAAAAACTGAACATGCAACAAACTTCAAGTACTTACTACTAAGGCTTGACACTGAAATATTCTTCTGGTGTCACAATTTTCAATCCACCAAAGTAGTCCAGAACCCAAATATTGGTGATGTTGAATTTGGCAAAGAACCAGTTGTGATCCTTAGGCCAACTTTCCATCTCAGGGTGGCGACTGAATAATGCTTTTTTGGCTAAGCCCACTTCTGAATCATTCACCTGAACAACAACCAGCAAAAGACTACATTAAGATAAAATTGCACAAAGATGAATTTTAGCTAAAACCCACTGCTGACTGCAGCGTGCTCTCTGCAGTTTAGCTATGCCCCATTCCAAAGGACTTATTACTATGGCAGAGTTTGTTTACCTTCAGAGAGAGCTCCAGCAAACACTCCAAAATAGTTGCTTTTAATGTCAAAATCAAAAGGATGCACTTTAAAGTAAGCATGAGCAAGGAAGTACTTCATCAAAAATGAGTTCTACTACTTAGATGGAGACACATGTAAACTGATAGATTTAGGAGCAATAATAATTCTTGTCTAGTATAAAGAGTAGATCCATCCTGATACTGACCTGTGTGAARCAGCATGGGTAAAACCACACTCTATTTTGCTCAAGTATTATTTTACAGAAGAAAATTACACAAGTCCACGGAAAGGATCTTAAAAAGGATATGCATAGGTCTTGCTACAGAAACAATGCCCCTCTCTTTCTTGGTCTCTCTTGCTAAAGTGATAAACTATCCAAAGAGTGAGGAGCAGAACTCTGTTTTTAATTACTTAAGAGGATTCTGGCATAAATAACACATCAGATTTAGTCAGATTMCATTTATGAGGACAGGAACGTTCATGCAGAACTGTGTCTTCAAAGCTTTTTTTTTTTTTTTTGATGCAAGTTTTCATAAGATGTGACTGGGAAGTTGTTCTTGGAGAAAGAATTTCTTCACCAATGTTCTCCATATTTTTCAGGACTAAAATGTGCACAGTTTGACTACTCAAATAAAAAATGGTGGAAAAAAATAAGGCCTTGATTTAAGTGCTTAGGCAGGAATGGCAATCAAGTGAAATAAAAACTAAGTAACAGCTGAGAACCAGGACTATAGAGTGTTTTACTCTCTATCCTAATGTTGGTAGAGGTATAATGGCTATATATATATATATATATATATATATATATGGCAAGCTAAGACAGGCTCTGCAACTCAATAAACAGCAGAAAGGTACAACATGACCTTGGGTATTATTTGAAATACCAAATGTCAAAAGAGAAGTAGCGGATCCCTGCTACCAGCTTGCAATGCTGTATCTTATGTATAATTTTATCTGCTCGCTCAAAGAGATACCAAAAAGCTCAAAGGGTCTTTAGATGCTTATACATACCCACACACAGTGTGAAATAGCTGAAAATCCATAGAGAACAACAACTAAGAGGTGTGACAGCACTTAGTACAATGTGCAAATGGGAGGAAGTGGACAAGCTGTTCTCACTGGTGGCCAGCGATAGGACAAGGGGTAATGGCCACAAGCTGAAACACAAGAAGTTCTGTCTCCAGGTGAGGAGCAACTTCTTTACTGTTAGGGTGACAGAGCAGTGGCACAAGCTGCCCAGGGAGGTTGTGGAGTCTCCTACTCTGGAGGTCTTCAAAACCCGCCTGGATGCCGCCCTGTGCCACATGCTGTAGGTGTGCCTGCTTGAGCAGGAAGGTTGGACTAGATGATCTCTAGAGGTCCCTTCCAACCTTAAATATTCTGTGAATCTGTGAATCTGTTGAAGGGTTAAATCAACAGGTTTGAGTTCTGGATATGATACAAGAGAAACTAATCACCATCAGTAATGAGATTGTTTATTTTAAATGTGATAGCAATTAAAGGATTGCTAGACTGTAATATTTAAATATCTAACATGTGAAAACAACAAATAAGAATCCAGGCCATCACATGAGACTAATGATGATTAATCCTCATCCTCTGTCACCATCCTCAATAATGGGATTAAGATGTCAGATAAACACTATACACAGTTCTAGATGCCATTCTAAATGTCTTCTAAGGGACAAAGCAAGTTTGAAGCAATACTGCGCTGGCAGGAACCCTGCCATGTACTGCAATACACCTTTCTGCCTCTACTACCCTAACTGTGTAGCTCAGATTCATAGTTACTTGAATAAAGTTTTGGAAGCACAGCTGCCAAACTGGATGGGCCAAATGACTGAACTGACAGATAGGACAAGAAAACCTCCACAATGCTTCTCTCCCAGAGAACTTGTCTTGAATATTATAGTTCCTAAATCAGTCTAGAGGAATTAGGAAGACTTAATTGCAGTATCTTCCTCCCAAGTGCCTTGCTAAAGATGCTTCAGCAGAACTCTTGCTACAATCACATGGTTACTTCATTTCCTTGTGCAAGCTGTGAACTAGCCTTCTGGTGTCGTGGCACGTAGATTCACCATAAATATTCTAACAGTTTTGTTCTTCTTTCACTTAACAATACCGTTCTACACATGCAATCTTGTCCTGTGTCAACTTTCAGCTGCTTACCTTTACAATAGTGCCACAGAAGATGATGTGGGCACAGAGAGGATTCTGGGGATCATATTTATGCTTCCTGCAGTACGGAGTCTGTGCCAAAGACACAGTTAAGGAGGCATTCGAATTGATCTAAAATACAAAGTGAGATAAATAGGTTGATAGTAAGGCATTTCCAAAAAAAAAAAAAAAAAAAAAAGTGATATCCATCACGATATTTTCAGCTTTTGATACTTTTTTTCAGAAATACTTATAAAAAGAACAAAACTATCATTTTTTCCTAATTATATCTGAAAAACCTACGAAGATGAGCTCTGAATCTAAAAGAAAAGTTTCTAAGTGAATTAAAGTTTGATACGATAAAATGCAAATCTCTCAAAGAAAGCATTCTTTAAAACCCCAAATTCGACACACAATCTAGTTATTTCACATTCAAATATATATTTGATATTCAAACATATTTTTGATATATTTGATGTACGATATATCAAAGATATATTCCAATTAAAATACAGGGCTATAGAGAAAAAGATTCAGTGAAACTCATTATGTTAATTCAAGCAGAAGGACCAAGTATTATTAAAGGCAACCAACTAGCTGTCGCAACTGCGAATGAAAGTATTCAATTAGCAGTGCCTCCCCCAAAACAAACATTCAACAACAGAAAAAGCCATCCCTCCATCCCCAATCAGTCAACATTCTTGACATTCAAAGTGAACTTTAGAAACTAAGTTTAAAAAACCTTCAGTATTTGAGAAAGGCACCAAACTTGAAGAATAAAGAGTTTTTATCTATTTGATTGTACTAAAACTTCCTTGGAGACCATAATAAGCTTGAAAACTATTTGCCCAAAACAGTTTTGCCTGCTGCAGAATGGCACATACTTAAATTCATTCTTTCCCAACACGGAAAGTTCCTATGCTTTGGAAAATTCCATTAAAAGAGCTCATTTTGTAAGTTACGTGTGCACTCTGCCCTATACCATTGAATGTAGGAAGCAAAAGCTGTCATATGACTCACAGCACAGACAGGAAGTTGCCTAACTACAAAAACGCTGATTCATCATTATTCAGCATTTCTCCTATCAGAAGTCTCTTTCCATTTGACTGTTTATGTCCTGCAGAATATAAATCTGTTGATTTATGTTGCTGGAAAGCAATCCGTGGGAAAATATTTATTTTTGCAGGACTATTTTTATATCTGAAAACAGAGGGTAGTAGATAAGGAAGACAAAGACATACAACACAAGACAAATTAGGTTCTCTACACCATTTAGATACACAAATAAACAATTTCGAAGGAAAAAAACTAAAAGCTCAGTGAGAGAAAAAACAAAGGGGTTTACATTAAAAGAAATTCTGAAAAAAAAAAGAAATCTCTTACTAAGTTTTGTGCACATTTGTTTTAATAATACTGTAGTAGTTACTAGAAGCATCTCTTTAATAAAGGATGCAGATAATCACTGTCTCTCTTTTAAGTCAATTTTCTCCTGACCACAGACAAGCAAAAGAGCTCAGGCACGGACCAATTACGCAAACTTAGCACATTGGTGTGTCCTTCTTTTGCTGTGCATCTGTTTTACCAGTAAACTCCAGGGATTTAATTACTACTTCTTCAGTATGAGAATTCCTTTTGCTCCTGCCCTACACTACCAATTTCCAGTCCTCCAGTCCCTTTTTTTTTTTTTTTTTCCCATTAACTTCTCCTTTTCATTTTCTCTGTATAAGGGTTCTTTGGCCCCTTGTCTCTCTGTTTAGGGCTCCTCTTGAAACTTCAGCTATTTTCTTTACTGGAGCACTACTCAGGAGACGAGACTTTCTGGACCAGGACCAGCAGGAGATTCCCAGGGCTACTGTGTATCAAAACAGAAAGCACCACTTCAGATTTAGATTCTCAAAGACTAATAATTCTCTGCAGAGCTCTCAAATGAAGTGGCATTCATGGAAAGGTTGTTAGCACCCTTATGTTGCCTGTATAAAATGCTGATGAAGATCCTGACCCACACAACAATATTCCAACCAAGATTTTCTACTGAGACAAAAATGCACAAGTGACCATGACAAATATTTTCAAAATAAAAGTTTTAAGTATCTTATACTGGTTTATCTATTATTATTCCCAATCAGCATATACCATTTTCAGACTGAATTTTGTAAAGACATTATACGACTATTAAATGCCGATGCATCTCACCAGATACTATAATTCTACTCTCAAATATAATGCTAAGAAAAGTCTGGAGATGGTGACAGGTAGGTATGGGGACTGAGCAGGCCTGGAGTGCACAGACACACTGGATCCAAGGTAGCTTCCTCCCCACCGGCGGGGTGCCCGCAAAGGGGATGTGACCCAGCAACAGGCAGGCAAGGAGAAACCGCAGAGCTCGGCGCTCGTGCCCTGGCTCTTGCTGGCGAATGGCACGTGCAAAGTCACCTTCTCACCTCGTCCCCAGCCCTCATCCTCGCGCGTGTGGCCACGACACACGCAGCGCAGGGGTCCCCCCCCCGTCCCTGCGTCTTCCCCTCCGAGGCCCCAGCCCTGCTCCAGCGGCGCCCGCTCACCTCCAGGTCCTGCACGGAGATCTCCAGGTCGGTGAGGTAGAGGTAAGGGACGCCGCTGCCGCCGTGCGGCCCGGGGGGGCCGTCGCTGAGGGAGAAGATGTTGGCGAAGGGGCGGCCGCGCAGCCCCTCCTGCGTGGAGAGGGTGGCCAGCGCGCCCCAGTCGCAGGTGTGCAGCACGAAGCGCGCCATGCGCGCCGCCTCCTCGGGCGCCGGGATGGTCCCGCGGGCCGCCAGCGGCAGCGCCGCCGCGCACAGGAGCAGCAACGGCAGCATCGCGAGCCCCGCCGAACGCCAACGGCCGCCAACCGCCACTAACGGCCGCCAACCGCCACCAACCGCCGCCACCTCCAAGGACGGCTCCCGTGCCCCCTGCCCCACGCGGGAGGGGCGGGCCGCTCCACCTTCCGCCAATCGGAACGCCCAGCCCACTCGCCTTCGCCAATGAGCTCATGCGAGTGGGAAATTAGCCTTTCCGATGTCAGCCAATGGAAGCGCTGCACCTGCTTCTTTAGCCAATGAGAGCTGCGGGAAGGCGGGACGAGTCCCAGCAGTTTGCCACCGATGTAAACAACACTTGACAGCTGCCTTCGGCAGGGGGAGGCGGAGTCACTGAACCGGCAGCAGCCAATGGGAGGCCACCACTGGGGCTCTTCACCAATCAGGTTTGGAGAGGCAGGAGGGTCATCGCGCAAGGGCGCCTCGCTCCCGCCGATCGCGCCCGGGAAGGAGCCCGGGCTGTAACGGCCGGGGAGCAACGGCCGGAGGGCAACGGCCCGGGAGCAGCGGCCCGGGAGCAGCGGCCCGGGGCTCCCCCTCGGCCCCGGCGGCGCTGGGGCTAGTGCTGACCTGGCGGGAGCTGCCCCCGAGGCTCCCGGCGCCGCTCTGAAGCGGCCCGTGGAAGTTTGTGCCCGGTCTGTTGGTGCCCAAGTTGGAAGTTGGCAACTTTCGTTGCCACTTCCGATGCTTCTAAAGATTATGTTGTCATCAGGCAGCAGGGAGAATGCTATTTTGTACCAATTTTGGGTATTCCTGGTGTAAATACAGCTGTGGATCACAAAGACTGTAATATGTCATGCTTGGCCTTTTCTCTGCTCTTTTTTTTTGTTTGTTTTCTGTTCAAGCCTCTGACTGAGCTTCATGGCACAGTCATTAGCTATAGGCAGTGATGAATTTCAGTCTAAAAACAGTTGAGATCATGCTGAGAACAAAATATTATCTGCTGTGGGACTCAAGAAATGACCTCACAGCAGAGATAAGGCTGAGCCCTCGAGCACAGATTGCAAAAGCTTTGCCTTTCAATGAACTTTTGCTCCCACATTCACGCGCCCGGGGCAGGGGGGCTGGAAGGTAAAGCTCACCATTCCCAAAGTCCTCCCACCTGAAACTCCCGGAATCCAATGTCATGTACACATTTGACCCCCCAAGAGGAAGATAATGCTGTTGCTCTATCCATTTTATATGGAAGAGGTTCGTATATCGGACAGCAGTATGGATCCCTAGATCGCCCTAGGGGACTCCCTTCTGTTTGATAACTATTGAAGTCCGGACCATGTGGCATTCAGCTGGGGCAGGTCACATATTTACCAGAGGTGCCGAAGGGCTGTGTGCTAAGGCTCCTTCCCCATCAGACAACCAACGTTTTCCCCTCGGCTAAGCGTCAGCCCCCAGGTGCTCCATCATGCAGCAGATGCACATCCAAGCATTGGCCAGGGCCACAGGGCACTCAGGAACATGCACCTGAAGAGGCGCTGGGAATAGTGGGGTGCAGACCAAACGAATAATTTTGCTGGGTTTAATTCAGGAAAGCCGTCTCATCGCGAAGGAAAGTACACCATGCATCCATTGCCTACCATGTATGTACTGTCCTCTTGCGGACAGACAGAATAAAATTGTTTTCTCTGTAATATTCTCCTTGCCTTTGGAGAGTGGGAGGAGTGCCTGACATTCCGTCTAGGGCTGCTGCCTTCTCTTGGCCATATCTGGAGGGATTTAAGCTTTGGTATAATATAACTGAGGGAGGACAGGGATTTTATGTGTGGCTGAGGCAAGTCACACACTTGTCGAGTTGAGAGCTGAACTTGCAGGGAATAGCTCCTCCAATAACACGGGCTATAAAAATGCTTTGGCTTAAATACTGGGCAAGTTACATTTCAGAGCAAAGACCTGAGGTGAAAATAAGGAGAAAAAAAGGAATGAGACATGAGAGGAAAAGAGATTGTGTGCAAAGGGATGCATTTTTACATGTAGGATTGTGTAATATGTTTAGATGAGGGCAGGAGTAGGACAACTCGAAGGGGAAAAGATAGCAGCTGCTCTGTAGAGGTGAAAGGGGTATGGAAGAAAGGGACAAAAGTCATCCAGAGGAAAGGACTTAGAAAAGAGGAAAATGAATGAGGAAGACAAACTGCAACAAACTGTTTCCTTCGAGATTGTGCTAGCTAACATAAACAAAGTGGCATATTGCTTCCTCTTTCTGCTCCCTACAAGCACACGTGCACACACACGTAGAAACAACTTGTTTTTCTTCATTTTCATAGCAGTTCTGCCCTCTGAGAAGACAGGAGGATATTTTCTTGTTTCAGTTAAAGAGACAAGTGGCAGGGTGAGATAGACCAGGGTAAACACATATGAGGGATGAGCGCATAAATGATTGTACAGGGGTGCACAAAACCACGACAGGGAGCAGAGGGGAGGTGTTTGATGGGGTCAGTACAAGAAAGAGGGAATGTCAGGGAGAATAGGCAGAAGGAATCAAGTGCCAGGATGAAGGGAAAGAGGATAAACACAATGAGGGAAGGAAAGTTGGCCGATTTTTGCATAAAACAGAAGAAGGGGGAAAGCTTTTATGTTACACAGTTTACATTTATCAACAGAAAGTGTTTGCAGAGTGTGGCCATCTCCCGTTGGCCAGGCGCAGTGCACATTCCTGGAAGTGCACAGCCCCATCCCGGACTACTCTGTGAAAGGAGATCCCAAATGGATCTTTGGGAGAGCACACAAAATCATCTTACACTTCCCTTGCCACAACTGGGTGAGCCATCCGAACAGCAACATCACATTCCAAGCTTTCCTTGTCTGTCTCTCACGTGTTACCCTGGAAAGGCTCCCACTGGCTTCTCCATGAGCACCCACGAAGGGGTGCTGTTGTCCCGGCCTCATCCCTTGGCGCGCAGCAGCGCAGGGTGCAGCGCAGCCGCTTGCAGGCGCACGGCTCATGGGCGCTCAGGATGGCACAGCATTTGCTGAAGGGAATAGCGTGGGCTCTGTGCTGGGGAGAATTGGGTTTATTATGCTGATTTATTAAGTGTACAGCCTGTACTGACTGAGAAGGCTTGTACTGACGCTGTGCTTTCTGGCTGGGCAGCGCTGGGCAAACCTGCAGGGTGAAGGACAAGGTCTTTACTTCATTGCCCTGAGGCAGTGTGTTATCTGGAGTAAATCTCCAGGCCTCTCTCACTTCCTCAACTAGTTTCAGAGAAAGGAGAAGAGCTCTGTCTGTACTGATGTAAGGAGTTGAGGGACTACTAGAATACTTGTGCAACAAGATCAAGAAACTATTGCTAGCTGCTAGTTCTCCTTTTCAACTTGTGTTCTTGTCTACATTACACAAACAATAAATGTACAGTAATATCTCACCATAGAAAGAGCCACTTTACTCCTTACACAGGGGTTGGCCACTTAATTTCAGCCTGGCTTGCATGCCACAGGCTGGATCTGGAAGCCACGTCTCTGCAGAACGAGCCTTTTAGCCAGAAGCTGTTCAAGGTCTCCATCCAGCTCATGTGTCATCATGCTCTCTCTGCCACCTTTGTAGTATTTTTTTTTTTTTGCCCTGAGCCATCTCTCTCTCTAGATAGTGCAATTGTGGGCTAGGCAAGTTTTCTTTTCAGATACTCAGTTCAACTCTGAGCTGGGCCAGGTTTCCCGTCTAGATGATGTAGGCTGCCCATGAACAGGCCCCCTTTCCTCGCCAGATTACACTTGTGGGCTGTGCAGTCTTGCTGTGAATAGTGCTTGCTCTGTGAGCCAGGAATGCCGCGTCTCAGCATTCAAGTGACAAGTGATTAAAGCGACTTGCTGTTGCGTTTGACAGAAGTAACTGACCTCTGATTCAGCTCTAGCAAAAGCTGAAGCACTCGGTGCTTTGAAGCTGCCAATGCTCAGTGCCAAATGAGATTCACCATGCAAATTGTTTCTAAAAACAAGGGTGAGATATAACAGGCTCCGGAGATATGAGACCTGTCCAACAGTGCAGGGCAACTTCTCTACTATTAGGAAATTGCGCACTACACAGAATGGTGCCAAATGCAGAGAAGTGTTGCATGCTTGTGCATGGCACATTGATTTATTCTTGTTCTCTAAGTTCCCAGTTTAAGTAGCTTGTGAATTCAGCTTCTGCGCCTTTCATTGGCATATTTTTTAAACATTTAATAAAATGAATATAGTGCTGCACTGGCATTCAGCAAAAAACCCTTTTATCTTTTTAACAGCCACCACACAGACATTAGCAATGTAAACTTTCTCCAGGCATAACCTGTTATGGATCAGAAATGGTGTTCAGTTTTCAGTCAGAAAAAAGAGGCTGTTCCCTAAGTCCCTGGCCTATTAAGAGGGCCATCTCTGACACTGATTTCTATGATGTTGAGAGGTGTTCAGTAAGACTGGCCTGAGAACAATACAAACTATGGCTGCATCCAGCACGGATACTAAGGAATTTGTCAGTTCCTGTGTCCTGGATATAGCTACTTATTTCTTTATATTACATTTTGTTGCGTAGCAGTGACTAGTAGAAGAATTATCCAGTTTAAAAAGAGGCTGGCAAAGACTGATGCTGGTAATGTTTGTCCCACCACTGTACAAATACGATGGGATGAAGCCATGCCTTTCGGTACCCCCCTTGTTCTCTGAAGTTTGTTCTCTGAAGTCAAGTGGATCAGCACTTGGCAATAAGAGCTTTCCAAAGAAATCCAAGTGCTTCCAGAGATGACACTAGCCATCTGGACACCACTGACCAGCCGGGTTGCCTGGTGTGAATGAGGATGGTGCATCTCAGACTCTTGCTAAGAGCAGAACTGCTGGGGCAAAGCAACGTAGGTGACACACTCCTCGTACAACACAGCATTTTTCTATGTTTACTCCATTTTAGGGGCAAACTATCGCCCAGCGCTGAGAAGCGAAGAAGCCTGGTTAATTTTTACAGAGCCATGATGTTAGCACTCAGACACAGGCTGGCAAAAGAAAATTCAACCTTTCAGTGCCACCATGCAACACACAGTCTTGCACACTCACTCCAATAAGCTAAAATCACTTAAAACAACTTATAACAATGTCCCTCCGTTAGTTACAGCACCTTTGGTAGCGGGGCTTATCTTTTCATATCAATTCCCAGATGTCTACAATGCCTGGCAGGCAAGCGTGTGTGCGTGTGCGCGCGAGCGCCGATGTGATCCTCAGCCTGCGTCTTTTCAGATGTGCTCAAGTGCAGCTGCAGCTTCAGAGCAAAAAATGTCAATAGTACAAAGCGTTCCAACTGACTTCATTTCCTGCTGATAACTCCCCAAAGAGGAGGGTGAGGCTTAGAGTGTGCGGTGCGAGTTTAATGTTGAGGGGCAAGGGTAGGGTTGGCTGCAGCAGGTATTTCAGAGCACAGTTATTGAAAAGGTGGGTTCAAAAAGCAAGTTTCCCATAGAAAATACTGCTCACATTCACTTCCTGGCACAGGAGAGTTGAGGTATAAACACAACACAAAACAGGATGCTGGCTTTTAGACTTGATTGATCGTTGAAATATAAGGGTTTTTTTTTTCTTTCTGTGGTTACCTATCCCCTTTTTTTCAGTTGAGAATTAAGGTACTTGACTGGGAACAGGAAAGGTTGTGACCGCAATTTTGAGGGGGTCAAAAAAAAACAAGTTGGTAATGGAGGCTGGTTAGTAATAGTATATTTTTGGAAAATGCTTTGAATATTACCAACCAGATACAGATGGATACATGGGCAGAGGCCTCAGGTAGCGGTACTGACTGGCAAGGCCAAATAAATTCTGACCAAACATCTCCAGAAAGACCAGAGATTCAGTCGGTCCTGCAGAGATCCACACCTCCCTCTGCACCTTTTGCCAATCCCCCGTGCTCCCAAACGCTCCCAGATTCAACACCCTCACAGTCACACCCAGATGACATAGCCGTGGGGACACAAATATCTGAGTCAACGTCTCACATAAGAGCCTTTCTTCCCGGAGTGCTCCCTAAGCAAAGAATTGCCATGTCCCTCCTTTCTCTTGATCTAGTATCCTATGGGAGCCCCGTGATGTGTACTTTGCAGCCAAAATGCAGGATAATGCCAGCAAATATTACACAAGGTGCTTCTTTGAATGGCAGAAGGAGTTCAGCTGCCTCTTTTGCAGGCACGCAGGGTGACTGGCCGCCCTGCGCTCTGCCCCACATGCTGCATGTAGCAGGAGCAGCAGCCATGAGGCCTGAAATCAACTTCACGGTCTGATCTCACTTGTACTGAAAAGAATTGTCTGAGGAGCTGCAAAATACAGAGGTCCAAAAAATGCAGTTTATCACTCAGATGAAAGTGCTCCCTGGAAATCTGTTTTGCAGGCACTTGTGATAACTGGATTTCTTTTTCCTGAGCAGAACAGATAATAAACTTCCTGTTTTTTTTTTAAGTACAGACACACATTAGACAATCTCACAGATGCAGCTCTACCTCGAAGACCTGTAAGCAGATATGTTCAGAGATATATGCAGTCATACTCTAGAAGGCCACATTTGTATTTGCACATGTTGCATGAAAAGCTATSAATTCTTCAGTCTTACTTAGTATTTCCTTTGTCACAAGGTTCTTGAAGCATTTTTTTTTCTGATTTTCTGTTTTTCACAACATACRTCTTTGTTCTGTGTGTTCTCTTTGCTTTTTCAGAAAGAAAAAAAAATAATAATCTTTCTTTAGTTTTTAAAGTACTGCGTACCATGCTGGAGCAATGGCATTCGGGCCATTGGTAGAAAGGATTTGTCCTGTGACAAGATACTTTGGTGGGGCAGCCATAACTACCTTTCCTCTAATAATACGGGTGGAACAATATTGTCTCTGAATAGCAATTGCCTTCTTTATAGACTTAAGCAAACAGTTTCCCCTGCAGAGTACAAGTCCTGAAAGAATACAGAAACCACTGAAATAGATCCCAAATAGAATGAAGCAGTTACTGCAGGAAGGTGATTTTCAAGATGTGCTTCATTGCACCGGTCTTGATAAAGAGGCTTGTCACAAATGTCCACAGTGAAATCCTCCTCCTACCTCTGCAACAAGCAAAGCGTGGGCTGTCAGAGCATCCTGCCCTCCCTCCCTCCCTCATCCTGCTCTCATCACTCCTGTTCCTATCCCCTCTCCCAGGTACTGTTATTGGGACTGTAAGAAATCAAGATGATTACCAACCAAGGAAGAATTTCATTCTCACATTTCTTTTAGATTCTCAGTCTATTTCCTTAGGTTTCTGGTTGAAATATCTGATGGTTGCTTACCACAGAACGGCTTCAGCTAACCATCAACTGTTTCATCAACAGAAAATGAATTAGTCCTTTTGCCTAAGCTCCATAAGGTGGCAGCTCAATGCATCAGTCTTTTGGCTAAATAACCACGGCATATTGAACTTCAGAGATAATGAGACTCTGATTTAAATGTTAATTCCTATACTTTCTGCAGGAGTCCTACAGTGGGCAGTACAGCAATAGTTAAGGATACTGTAAGAACAACCATGCCAAGGTGATTTTTGGTAATGATTATCTGGGATATGATGATGTTCACATTTAAATATGTTCTGGAGTGTTTTCCTCCAAAGGTAGCAGGGACTGCCTGTACCTGTAAAAAATGGAGAAAAAGTAGGCATCTCTTTCAGAAAAGATGCTTTAACCCTCTTTTGTCCCTGAGACAAAATGATGACATGAAATTCTGGGGAGTCAGCAGAAGACAAAGGGAATATTTCCAAATTCCTCTGCACCACCCTGTTCTCAAGAGGTGGGGACTAAAATTCTTGAGGAGGAGCATGTGCAAACAGTTGCTAAAACAGGAACGAGATGTCTAGCTTACAACACTGTGATCTGAATGGAAAGGGAAACCATGGCAGAACATTCCTGAGGCTTAATTTTTCCCATCCGAACTTTCCTACCATCACGGAAGCTTCTCGTTTCCAGCGAGCAAGCCTGTCCTTCCCYGTGACAGGGGCAGAATGCCCTGCAACTTCTGACCTGGTAGTATGAGAAATGAAATCGGGGTGGAATGAGCTAGTCCTGCCTCACAGCTGGCCGGGGCACCTTGCACGGGGACCTTCCTCCTTGTGCCCACGTTTGTACAGCACCTTTCACAGCAGAGCCCTGATCTCCCATTGGGGACTCACCCAATGGCACATTAGGATTGCTGACATTGCTGTCTTGCCTGCAAATCCCAGCTGTGGAGCGGGACACCTAAGACACTTTCTGCACAAACACAGTTATCACCATCTCTCTGCTCCYCTTCTGCCTCTCTTGCCACCCTAAAGACTGTCTGCTGCTGACTGCAATTTCCTCAGAGCRTGAGGGAAGAGAAAGGGGGAACTGCAGCCGGAGGAAGATCCACCTCACAGCAGCGAGGAGGAGACCCTGCAGACTTGGAGAGGAAAGCATGGACAGGAGAGAGATCCAAGAGCAGACACGGGAGGGAAGGAAGTGGGGAAAAAAGAAACCAGAGAGAGAAATAGAGATGGGGGTGGGAGGGAAGGAAGAAAGATAAGGTGATAGAAAATACGGAGAGGAGGAAAAAAGGGAGGGGGAAAACGCACACATGGTGTCCCCATGTTTGGGCACAGCAGCCGAGTTTGCTGCTTGTTGTGTCATGAGCCCAAGCACTCCGTGCGGGACAGTATCTGTTTAGATTTGTGTCTAAATTTAAACCCCGATTGCCTTGCCTCCCCCTGCTCTCCCCTCCCTCCCTTCCTCTCACCCACCCGCCCTTCTTCCTTGTTCGTGTCAGTGCAGGGCCGCTCGCCGGGCTCCGCCGGCTCTCACGCCGAGCCGGAGCCGGGATATTCGGTGCCCTCCACGGCAGCGCGACTGTGCTCTGGCTCGCCCCAACATTTCCCACACTTACGAGGGAAAGGGGTGGGGAAGAAAGATTGCCCAGAGGACACCTCTCTCTTGCAGGACATGGAGGTAAAGAAAACTTTTATTTGCACTGGCTTGTGGCTTGCTGCTAGGTCTGCATTCGCTCCACCTTGCAAAGGGATTTCTCCCTGAAGGGAAGTTAGTGAGAGGTTCAGGTAAAGGTCTGCTCCCCCTGCCCCAGCCCTGGCCACGCACCTCCGAGTGATCGGCAGCTGGGTCTGGATTTAGATGTGGGGGGCTAGGCAGGGGGAGAAATCACGTGTGGAAGGGGAATGGGGAAGGACTGCCATTCACTTTTTTTAATTTCTGAGGTGGAAAGAGAGCTAACTTCTAAAGGGCTTGCCTCATCCTAAAAGGAGGTGTTAAAAACCCGTAAGAAGCGGGTACACAGAGAGAAGGAACAAMCCATATAGGATGAGCGGGCTCCCTACGCATCCATGTAATAGCGGCTGTGATTTAGCTCGGGGTGCCCCCCTGGCTCCACGTGGATCACAGAGTCTCACTTTCATTATCGACAGAGCTTTGGTGCAGGAAAGAGAACATGAGCGCCCTGCTCCCGYGAGGTAAAGGGGCAGCACGGCCACGAAGCATTTCCCACACTTTTCTCCCTGCTGTCTGCCTCGGACTTCAGGAGGGCAGTCCAGCAGCTCTTGGCTGCTGACGGGCACGCTGCGGATGGAAAAGGGTGCAGAAATAGGAGTCGGGATTCCCTGCTGCTTAAGCCCAAGCCTTCTGCCATGCAGCGCGCTCTTTGGCAAGGCATTTCACCACTCCTTGCTTCTTTTCCCATTCATATAAAATGGGAGGGATAGTGCTTGCTTCTCTCACGTGGGGCTGGAGTTGCTAGACTTTCCAACCTTTTCGAAGTTGTAGAGGAAAAAAAAATATTTACTTTTAGGAGAGGCATAGAAGACTGAAAGGCAATTGCAACATTGGCAAAACCTCAAATGGCGAAATGGACCTTTTGGTATTTCATCTAAACACTGGTCTTACTAAATATTTTACAATGTCTTCCTGGAGAATTTGTTTTTTGTGTCTGTGTTGGTGTGGCCCCAAGAGCTGGGGACACACAGTAAGGCGGGGTACACTGTGCTTGTGGCATCACTATATTTTTTCTTTGAAGATTTCCTGAAGATTTCCTGCATATAGCTCAGCTGGACAGTTCTGATAATACCCAGGTGTTAGCATCACAGCCCTTCTTATCTGTGGTGGCTTGCCCTACAGGCGAGGGTAAAAGATCAAGCATGTTCATTAAAATAAAAGTCCTCAAYGGGATATCTAAAAAGGTTTTGGTGTGGGGAAGGACTGAGCACTGTTCAACTCAGCACAGACTGCATATGGCATGACAAATATAAGGCTTTATAAAGATTTTTAGATTTAGCAGAAGCCGGGTCAGTAACTTTTAATGATTTTTTTTTTWAWTWTTTTTTTTCACTATGCAACATCCTGTGCTGCTTCAGAGGGGAAGGGGAGGTGAACTCTTCATTTCTTACAACTGCTGTACACAGGAAGTCACATACAGAGCCAAGACGAAATTAGGGCTGAAACAGATACTTGGTTGTGTCACAGACACTCTGCCCCGTCTCCCCTCCTCTCCACACAGAGAGGGCTGCACCCCTCGGGGGGTTTCTTTTGTGTGGTGCAATGGTGCTTTCTGAGCAGAAAGGGATGAGCCCTCTATTTCATTTGGGACACGCTTGTAACACATATGGCAAGTCTGAATGTCAGTTAAGTTTCTCTGAAATGCTTAACCTAAGATTTTCCTCTCTATACTGAGTCCCTTCGTCTCTGTTTCTGGCTTTCCTCTACTGCTAGGTTTTCTAAACATCAGTAGATTGCAGCATCTACTCATAATTTAAAAACAGCTCATCTCCCCAAACCACGTTTAAGTAGTGCTTTTGGTCTCTCCCGCCAACTCCAGCCCTCCAAAAAGGTGGCTAATGTTCTACAGATGAGAAGATATTAGACCAAAAGAGAGTMAGGAGCAAAGATTTGAGTTTCCACCTCCCAATTCCCTCTCTGTCTGCTGCTTCCTGAGAGCTTTTCACTGACAGCATGAACAGGACACATAAAGTTTTTACAGTCTTTTGCTTTAAAGAACAGACTTAATGCTCCTGTGTAACAGGAACGAGAAGTTCTGTCATTTCCCCAGTTGCTTCAGCAATAGCAGGCAGAGCTGCTCTGGACTTTGTTGCTGGCACAAATGGAGGCTCTTTGCTCTAATGGGATACAGGAGGATTTCCCGCACTAGGGAAAGAAGGGCAGAGGGCTGACCTCGCCAGCTGATTTTCATCACATCTCTGGCAGGAAGACACTATTTCTGCAAAAACCTACAGAAACAATATAGTTGGGCTCACTTTCTTACTATGATTAGTGTGGTTTTACTGCTCCTTAAGGGCTAGTATCTAAAGCCATTGCCCTTCTGCTATCAGGAACAAACCCCATTATAAGCAGTAATTGCAATTGCTTAAGCTTGGGCAGCAAAACCCTGCTGTTGTCAGCTCACACAGTTTTGTGAGTCATATTTTCTCTTTCTTGAAGACTCAGCTCCCTGATGCAAAGTAGATTTGAGAATCAGTTTTCATTCTGTGTTATGACTGCTGAAAAGAATTTGAGCGCATTGAAGGACCTCCTAAAAACAGACCTAAGCCAAGAGATCGTATTAAAAATGCATAAAGTTAGCATTAATGTAAGCAAAATCACTCTTAAATAAAAATAGCCACTAATTATTCTTAGCACTTGCAGTACTAACTACATTGTACAAACAGGATGAGAAAAMGTTGACCTTTTTATTTTATTTTTAAGTTTTGGTGGGGGTAGGTTTTTCAGTTGGTCCAGGTTGCTAATTCTTACAGCTGTACTAAACCTTGTTGAAGATGTCGCAAGCTAAGGTATCCACTGAAACTGCTTGTGACTTTCTGCAACCAGCTGAGTAGTAAATACTGCAAATATTCAACAGTTCTTATGGCTGTTCTCTTTCCAGCCTCTCTGCAGGAGCCTGGGAGCACAGAGACATGTGAACTTCACTCATAAAGCAAGGGAAAGCAATCCAAGACTGAGTTCCACTTTGCTGGCTCCCTATGGTGCTCTGGGTTCCCTTAGTCACGTGGGCACGGCAACCAGTTTTATTTTGAGAAGGCTCCCCTCTTACCTACCAACAAACTTGATTTCTTCTTTTTTGAGGCCTCTATTCTCACGTCCCCATTCTGCATCTAGCTTGTGATGGATCTTCATTTTGCCAGTTGTCACACCATCTAAGCAGAGGGAAAGCTTTTCCAGAGCCCAAAAGCAATTGTCTGCTTGCTTGGCTTCTCCCTTCTGTGCATATCTGCCAGACATGACCGCTGTGCTGCCCTGGTCCACGTTCTAGGACCTGTGCTCTCCCTACACTGTAGTGGCCTCATTGGGGACGTTTGGGGAGCACTGGGTTGTTGCTCTTTGCAATAAAGGCCCACACTGTGTCAGGTGCAGATGCCTCAACAGTCTTTGGGTCCTGATCCTAGCAAAAAGCAGAGCAGTGTGGAGAAAATGCCTCTGAGTGCTCTGTTGCAGCGGGAGCCTGCAGAAACCACATCAAGTGCAAACACATCCTCTCCCTCAAGCGTCAGAGAGGGAGACAGGGAGGTCAGAATCCATTTTTTTCCATTTGCCCAGGTCAGCCAGATGCTCTGATAGCAGCACATTTGCAGGTCTGGTTACTGCATCTTGCCAGATAGGGGAACGAYGCCCTTGCCAAACTGCAGGGCAGCTGTATTTCAGCAGAGGCCCTTACCCTAGGAAACCGTAGGAAAACTGCACGAGGATTATACTGTGTATTGCCTAAGAGGATCGAAGAATAGGGGATGGAGGAAAGTGCAATTCTTTGGTCAAGAAGGCTGAAATTTTTATCCACTCTTAGTGCTTAGAGTAGCAGGACAGAGAAGCCATTCAGCAACACACCAGGCTGAGCAAATTCCCCACCCACCGTTGTGCAGTGGCTCCACACTGAGCACAGCTAGCCTGCTATCATTAGCACTGAAGGGAAGCTGCATTTCTACCTCACAGGAAACTCTGCAGTTCGGTTTTCATTCCAAAAGATAAAACATCCCTCTTCCACTTTCCTTGTTTTCTTTTTGCTTAATAGAACATTTTCACCTCAAATGCACTTGCTTTCAACATTTCCTCCCAGAGTCATCAAAATGACATGTTCTTGCAGAGTGTCTGTGTGGAGAAAGAACATTTAAAAATACTAGGAAAGATCCTGTATGACCCTGTTTCACTCCTTAGGTCTGGAGAGATTTAGGACCTGCCTGGTAGTAAACAGCATGTCTGCAGTAGAGCTGGAAAGGATCAGACTTGCCAGACTTCCCCATTCCAGTGACTGGATAAAAYGCCTTCTTGAGGGTCAGAACAGAATCAAACCAAACCCCATGGCTGTGCCATGGTCTTTACTTGCATCTAAAGGAAACGGCAAAGTAAATGGTTTACAGAGTTAAAGCTTTATCATCTCAGTGGAGAWGGGATGATTCTCCTCACCTCTTCTCTCTCTTACTCATTTTGATCTTTGAGTATTTGAGTATCCCATGCCGTTGCTAATAGGCTTTCTGGAGAAAAAAGCTTCTTCCCTGTATTACTAGTTGAATTGAGTAGATGCTTTGCTGTTGAACAGCATATTATGCATAGCTTGTCTACCACATYCCAGGCATTTGCTTATCTGAATAACAAGGGAAAGAATCAGCCTTGTTTTCTAGATAGCTGCTATAGTTGCTGCAGGGATGCTCTGCTGGTTTTCCTCATGGAAATGACCAAACCCCTACATCAAGGGGTGATTTTCCTATCTGATTTCACATGCCTGGTTTTGAGTTCTAGAGAGTTGGATGCTACTTTTCCTAAAACCAACTCTACAACCTCAGTTTGGAACTGGATATATCAGTTGTATCCAGCAGCAGAGAATCGGTTTGGAGGATTTGTGAAGTACAATGTCATCACTTGCCTCTAGTAGTCTGCACACTGCACACATAATGCTGAACTGGTTCTAGAGAGAGAAGATCTGTTTGTGTAAGGAGAGA